TACTACTTGAGGCTCCTAACACCCGTCGAGGTGCGGATCCGTGCACAAGCCATGCTCACAACCTTGTCGTAAATCGATCTGGGGATGATTCCTGCCGCACAGCAGAGCCATCGTGCCTGCTCCACACAGCCAAGCCCGCAAAATCAGGCCTATTGCACGCAATTTGCGAGTTGCACGTGTATTGCACCAACTCTTCTGTGCTGATTGCACCATTGTGGCGGATGTCAACAATGCAACAAGTGCAGCAGGCCTCAACCCCCTGTCCACACCACACGGCACCATGCAGCCTATGCTGATGCACGCCTGATGTTTCTCCTCGCTGTCCCTGATCGACCACTCCAAATGACCCCACCCGATTCCCCCGTGGCCGCATCCCGCTTTCACCGATGCGCAGGTCTCACCCCACCCCACCCAACCCGTGCACCATGAGGCCGCTCTTCCTTGTCGCCCTGGTGGCCGTCGCGTTCTGCGTCGCCGCCGCCCCGGCGGACGCCCAGAGGACGAAGCTGCGCTTCAGGGCCACCCTCACCCCCAGGAACGCGCTGCCCACCGCGCTCACCAGGGCGCAGACGCAGGCGCAGGGCAGCTTCACGCTGACCTTCACCAGGACCGAGCCCAGAAACGCCACGTGGTCCCTCAGCCTTGGCAGGCTCACGTGAGTGAACCGACAGCGCCGCTGCCCCGCAGGCTGTGCGGCGGGCCGACAGTCGTGGCGAGGCCGGCATGCTGGGGTTGCAGCCAATCCAGGCCGAGGGCGCATGGGACGCGTCGGTATAGCAGGATTGGCCTGCCAGGCAGAGTTTGGTGTTTTCAAGCACGTCGGTCTTGCCTGCGCGTTTCTCGCCTGCGGCTGCACTGCCGCCACCGCCCCCTTGCCCTCTGACCGCCGCCCGCCCACCCGGACCATCTCACCCACGCGCCCCGCCTGCCCCTCCGCGCACTGCTGCCTGCCCCCCTCCCAGTGGCCAAAACGTGCAGGCAGCCCGCGTTGCCGTTGGCGCGGCTGGGCAGACGGGCCCCGTCCTCACTACGCTGTTCACCGGCGGCTCGGGCAGCTTCGGCAGCAAGCTCGTCTCCGTCTCCCTGACAGAGAACGTGCTCGCCACTGCTGCCAACGGCTTCGCCACCATTTTTGCGCGGGCCAACAACGGCACCGAGCTTTGTGAGCGGGCGGCGGCGGAGCTGAAAAATTGAGCGGGGGGCAGCGCTGCGAGGCTCTGCTGCGCGCCTCCCAGGCCAGCTTGCACCCAGTGCACGCACGCCTGTGCATGGCGTTGTCGCCGAACAGCGCGAAGCACGTCGCCAGCACAAGCGTGTGTTGTGGGGTCTTACGACGATGCAACACGGCTCCAGGACTGCTTTACAAGAGCCGCCCTGGGGGTCATCAGCTCATTGTCAGTCGACGCGTGCAGGCTTGCTTCCCGATCACCCGTCTCACTTGCCCGCCAACTGAACTGAACATACCCCGCCATACCCACCACTCGCGCCCGCCCCTCAGACGTGAACATCGTTTCAAACGAGTTCCCCAGCGGCTTCCTCCGTGGTCAGCTGAAGTAGACGTGTCTCCACCCTGTGCCCTGCGATGGCGCGGCGTTGGGTGCACAGGCAGGCCGCACGCACACGGCGCGGCCGCCCATGTGCATCTTCACACCCCCCCCCCCCCACCACGCGTCCCGTGACACAGCCACAATCCTGTACCTGATCTTAACCCTGTGGGCCGCGCGGCGGAGCAAGGCTGACCTGCGCATCATCTCATGTGTGTGCGGCGCCACCTGAATTACCGCCGGTGTGGCTCCCATAAGGCCGCTGGTCCTGCCCAGCAGCCTCGTTATAAGGCTGCATTCTCGACTTGACCTTATCTTCATGGCACACCGCGACCCCATTCGAGCCTGGCCCCTTTCTGGATACGATGACTGTGCTGCTCTGAAGCCTAGGAACCGCTTGCTCATTGTGTCCAGTTGCCGCGCACGAGTTGCCACTCGCGATTGCACTGCCACGCTCCCAGAGTAAAGGCCCCCTGTGCCAGCAGCCGACGCACCTCGCCACCTGGCAGCACAGCTGGACCTGCCGTTGGCGCTCAGCCAAACACAGTCGGGGCCCTAGCTGTGCTTCTGCACACAGTCCACTGAGCAATAAGTGTGCGTTGTTACAACTTAACAACAAAGAGATTGTGCAGTGGAAGGGGTGAAATAGCTGAAAAACCACACTAGACCACTCATCTGCCAGTTGTGTTGGCAAGGTGGTTCACACGCGCGGCAGGTGGTGCAACATTGCAGACCCCAGGACCTGGCTGTATGCGTAAGAAGCTGCGATTACAATCAGCACAACAGCGGCGTTGGCGTCTGCATGCACGTCACCTGCCCGCCCTGGTGAACCAAAGAGCGGCGCTCCAATGCTGCGAAAGCTGAAGGGCAAAGCTGAAAAGGCGAAGCAACAAAAGCGACAGCCAAGAGAGCTGCCACAGCTGCCGCCCTGCAGCCGCACTGCGCGGGGCCCCGAG